ATCTAGTCAGATGTACTCGCTAGCGCAAATAACTAAAAAGAAACTAGGATCAGAAGCCAAATCCAACAATAAAATCAGATAAACAAACGTTTTTTACGTCTTTCATCAGTAACTTCATCTGCTGTTTGGAGTTTTCGGTTTTGACCTTGTTCATTTACGTAAAGGCTCTATTTGTTGACAGAACTAACAGTGCTGACGTTAATACACTAGCAAAACTAGCTGGTTTTTACTCGTCACCCTGGTTAATTTTAGCCATGGTTTCAATAAGTTTTAAATTGTACATGGTTTATCAGTGGATTTACTCTATCACAAGGCAGATGCCGTGAATAAAAGTCTGGAAGAGCTTCAGGTGAAAGTCATGATGCTGACGGACAATTAATCACGGATACTACTGATGAAAATATCATGAAGGTCCATGATTTAGTGCTTAAAGATAGAAAATTGTTTTTTATAAGGCTTGAGGTGTAATTTTGATTATCTACAGAAGTGAGCTATTCTTAGAAGATTCCGGCTAATGCTACGATTATTGAGACAAATATTAACAAAAAACTAAAACAGTTTTTAGTTTGATACACTATTTTGTAATTTATTACCTTTTGAATGAAAGTATATTGAGCTAGATCCTAGTATTAGTCCTAGTTTTGCGCTAGTGTTTTACACAGACCTTTTAGAGCTAAAAATAGTAATTTCCAGTCATGGTTTTCAATACCCTTTTATTTCAATGCAACTTTGCAGATAGAAATCGCCTACAAAATCAATGTAATTACAAAGTATATTTTAATAATTTTTATTTTAAGATGAAATCCTAACATTTCATCGTCTTTGTTATTTCACAGTTTTATAGCTTCTTGCAGAAATAATTTTGTATAATTTGGTATTTGATAATTTTTAAAAGTTGGATCCGATAAATACCCATAGGCACAAGACGTGACTCAAAATACTTGGAGTATGCTTTTAAAGCTTTTATATCAAGAGAAAACCAAATCGGTTATGGCTATAATCGAGTTTTATAGAGATTTCAGTTTAATAAACACATTTACATGCATGTGGGTAATACGAGTTTAGTATATAGATATGTTCAAAAATATTGTAACGATAGAAATAAGTGTTCATTTTAAAGTATACACTAATAAAAATGCTAATATCAAGAATAATAATAAATATTGTAAACTAACGAACTAACCTATATAACAATATAATCCTGTTATTCCAAATTTGTTTTATCTATGACTATCTCCCTAGACCAAATATCAGTCACTATTTTTTTAGAGAAATAGTCGATATTTGGTCTAGTCGATCCAAATATAATACGACCTTGATTAATATTCTGCTATTTTTGTTGTTGCTAAATTTCTCTAACATTTTACAATTTGATTCTAGATAATGTTGGCATTAATAATCTGATTAGAACCCGAGAGCTTTAGCTCGAGGGCTTTAATACTAAATATAAAACTACTACAAATCCCACAATTCCTTGTAAAGATAGGATTGGAAGGGTCGTTACAAACATTGAGACATTTCCCTGCTGCCATAGCGACAGAAGGAGACAAAATAGATCTTGTAGGTCGCAGCCCACTATAACATAATATTATATCTATGTAAATAGTTATAAATAAGATAAATATAAGTGAGTCACAAATTAATGAATTTTTACCGTATAAACCTACTAATTTAAATTACTTGGAGCCATTTTTTTCTGATTGGTCTAATTGATTACAACTGCGCATTTACAGAAATACCAACTACACCTTATTAATTAAATCATGCACATAACATCACTTTAACTCTCTAATATAGAAACAGTGATCCTGTGGGGGTACGCAAGTAACTGATTTTGAATTAAAGTACTTGTAATAATAGCATATTTACAAAACATTGACAGCAGAAAATATAATTTATCGCCAATCATCAATAGAGCCATGCATTCTATAGCCATTGTCGAAAGTAAACAAAAACTTAATCTTACTGTAATAATCAAGCAAACTAGTATTACTGTAAAGCAGCTCCAACAGTAAACATTTTGTCGTGAATTATTTATAGAAAATAATAAAAGAAATATCTCCATTTTTTTTTTTATTATAAATTTATACGGTTGGGGATAATTGTTTGTAGACACCACGTCAAAAAAGTGTCTATATTGAACTCATCTATTCTATCTTAATCAACTAGCTATCTATTTATCTAACTCGTATGCTTCTCGCCTCGTTCGCCTAGTTCGATAAAGAATTACTTTGTTAACTCGGTAGTAATGGAATTTTAAATCTTGAGCATCACAAAATGTTTATTCATTGCATTGCAGATTAAATGCCAAAATATTCAAAGAGCTACAAAACTATTTGAAACTGCTAATAAATATATTGCAATAACGATTACATAAATAAATATTACTAATGCTAATGGAATTTCAAATCTTGTTTCTAACAAAATTTGTATCGAATGGATTGCAGAGTAAACGCCAAGATATTCAGAAAGCTACAACACTTTTTGAAATCATTAAGAAAGATATAATGCAATTAGTTTTGGGAAAATAGTAATAAAACTTTTGATTTAGCTTGTTGTTGGGAAATTGATTCAATTTTCAAGAATCACAGATTCCTCGGAGCTAAAAAAACGATTTGATGAGTTGTCATGTGACAAGCGCCTATCCAATGCTTAAGAAAACTTTCATGTGACGATATTCAATCTAATTATTAACGTAATCATATCATAACCTAAAAATTTATTCAAAGGGTTAAACAGTGTAGTTCACCCTTTAATTATATTTATAGATATTCAGAAAGATTATTATTTTTTGGTTCTTAAACCTAAGTTTTAAACAAATTCGTATTTCTTACCTAAATGGTGAATATTGATTATTTGTTTTAGAATTTGAATTAATTTTTTTAAAGCATTTGCTTTTATTTGCAAAATACTTTAAATAACTTTAAAATTATTTTCTGTTAGAGGTATAATTGAATTTTGCTATACACTTAATTCACATTCCTGTACATGAGATTAAATTTTGATTTACATTTGAAATTGAGTGACGGAATTTAATAAGTATTACAAAGTAGAATTCTTACATATTTTCAACAAGAAATGAAAAGTTTTTAAATAAAGAGAAATATTCAGGGTCTTGTGTTTATTAGCCCATTAATGATTAGTTTTTGTAAAAATATTTTTTAGCAAAATTATCAACACAGATATTTAAAATGTTTTTGACGCAATAAACCATTATTTACCAGGGACATATAAAGTCAAAAACGAGCCCTGGTACAAAATCACAGCGAGCCCTTTATAGATAAAAAGTTTAATTTAAAATAAAATGTTATTGCAATAAAACTGTGTGGCAAGTGATGACAAACGAAAAAATAATTTAAGTTTGATAGATTATCCATATTCTCATGTGGTAGTGTTATTCAACTAAATATAGAAAACAGTCAATACCACATAAATATATTATGGGATGTAAAAGATGCAACTAGTTTTGGCTAACGAGCCATCAGTAGATCTATAAAAAAATTTAATAATGACAGGCAACAGTGTAAAATGAACAGTATGTAACATTTTAAAAGTCTAGTTAAAAATGTTATTTTAAATAGGTGACATCTTGTATAAATAGTTTTTAATTAATTTAAATTCAATTATCGCCGCACGCAATATTCAAAAGAAAGGGAAATTTCGTGAAGTGGGAGTACAGTAAATCAAACGATTTCGCCATTAGATTTTTAAATTTCATTTATAATTACTATCTCTTCGTATCTGCTAGTGTTTGGCTGTAAAAGTAGTAAGCATAAAAAAGTATAATGTCATTGTAAAAATATCTCGATAGAAATAATATTCCAACCTATTGTTAATTATTAGTTTTTTTGAAAGTAAAGTTAAATTTTTCTAAATATGTTTTTATAATTCATTCTGGTTGCTGGAATTGCACAATGTTTATAGTAATTAGTTTTTATTGTATCTTGATTTAATTTTAAAAAGTAGATGTTTTAAATTTAATTTATATCTCATACAAGAGCCACGTGAAAAACAGAATTTATTTTTGTTTAAAAAACGAATAAGAGCAGCTGAAAACTAACCGTTGAAAACCAACTGATGAAAACTAACTGTTGAAAGCTAACCGTTGAAAGCTAACAGTTGAAAGTAACAAGCTAAAAGCTAAAAGTTAAACGTAAGAACAAGAACGACAGAACGAGGTACGCTGCTCGAGTAGCAGAATCATGAGAAATGCGAGATTTGGTGTTCGTTCCCGAGTCGCAAAATTTTCTACGGCATCCTAAGGAAGTTGCCAGCCAAAATCAAATTTAGTAACTATTAGTGGCTAGTTTTATTAATGACGAGATGAAAGTTAATTTACCTGATAAACTTTAATATTGACTTGTTTTTAAACAGTTTCTTTTTTATTTGAATAAACTAACTCATTTTTATAAGTATATATGTTGAATCTTATTTTTTTAAAGGTTACAACAATTCTCTTTTACTCAAATTAAATTTTGTATAAGTTTCTATTAATTTCTTTTTGATAAAGCTAGAGTTTATAATTATCACTAGCTTTCAAAAATAAAAAAAGATAATTATTGGTGCCCAACTTTCCTAGAATATTATTATCCCAAATGTGTATTAGAAAAGCCGAATTCACTACTGAGAAAACTATGGTCAATGTGCTTATTTCTTTTTTTTTTTAATTTTTAAAGGTAAAGGTAAGATTCGACTCGAAGGTTTAACGAGTAAACATCTGAATTTAATATCGCTGCGCACCTTTTTAAACATTACACTAGTTTATAGATAATTTTTAATTATAAGTTTAAGTGAAGTGTTTCGTCATAGAGTTTCCTTTGGTTTGTATAAAGTGGGTGAGCTGCATACTCCTTTATTTCTATGAATTTGATGCATTTTCATATACATTTTACGATTGGACTTAACAAAAAAGTTTAACTCTTATCGACAACCAAGTATTTGTGTATTAGTCCGGAGGCAAAATTTAATTGCATTGCAATTAAGAAAATTGAATTAAAATAATGGGGAATGACAAATCGATTGAAGATCTTTATAAGCTTTTAAGCTGCTTAAATACAAAAATAGATAATGCACAAGAAACTTTAAATGACATAAAATCCGAAGTTTCCGGTTTGTCAGCCAAAATTGTTAAATTAGAAGAAGAAAATATAACATTAAAAAATCAAATTAAATCTTTAGATCGCAGGCTACGGAAAAATAACTTAGTTGTGTTTGGCCTCGAAACAAAGGACGCCTCTCTATCTCTGCAAAAACTAAGCCAAATATTAGAAGTACCACTAGACTTGTCGCATTTTAACAATATATATTTCATTCCTAACAAAAATAATCAAGTGATTTTGAAACTAGAATTAAATTCTTATCTCATAAAAACTAAAATATTTGGCAGCCTGAATAAGTTGAAGAATACCAAAATGTACATCACAAACGATTTAAACGCTAAAGATCAACTCACACAAAAAACTTTGAGAGGTTAACACTGCCAAAAATAACGGGAAAAAGGCTACAATTAGAAGTAATCATCTACTGATTGACAACAACAAGTACACTGTTGCTGACCTAGTTGCTACCCCTGACGTATTAAATAGCGAATATACTAAAGAAGAACAAGAAACGAAAGACCTTTCCTCCTTGCCTGGTCCCGAGGTTGAGAATCTAAAAAGAGTTACGAGAGCCACCAGACTAAATTCTTTCAACCTACTGAATTGAAAACACTTCTGTTGTTGTTTTTACATTTATTTACTTTTTCATATTTAATTTAGTCGTATTTATTTGGGTTAAGATATTACATTTTTATTTATTTGTAATTATATTGAGGGTAACAGGATAATATAAAATTAATTATTGGTAAACAAATAGTTGAAATCATTTATATTTCTGTCTCATATATTTAACAAAAACTGTTGTGATCTCTTCTCCTAACACTATTTTATATTTTTTTTTCTTCTTTTTTTGGGATCTGTTTTGTCATCAAATGGTTATTAAGATATGTCATCTAAATGCACGATCACTGGGATCTAAATTTGCGACCTTTAAAAATTTGGTATACATTAATTTTGATATTATAACGCTCTCTGAGACTTGGCTGAACAATAGTGTTACGGACCAATGTATACATCTTCCTAATTATAAATTATATCGACTGGACCGTCCAACTAGAGGCGGGGGTGTAGCGATCTATATAAAAAACCATTTAATAAGTAAATCAGTTCAAATTGGAAACATGGCATTAGAACAAATATGGGTAAGTTTTAAGTTAGAAAATAAAACATGCGCAGTGGAATCACTCTACAGACCAGATGATGTTTCTACTAATAAATTTCTTGAAGAGTTTAATAACACTTTAGCAGAAATAACTTACAAATTTGATTACATACTATGTCTAGGAGATCTTAATATAGATTTATTGCGGTTAACTAAAACAGGTACGCAGTTACTAGATATAGGAAAAAGTTTTGAACTGAATCAGATTGTCACTGAACCAACTCGCATTACAGCTAACAGTAAAACCCGTCTTGATGTAATTTTCTGCTCAGAGGCATTAAAAGTAGGTAATGTAAAAAATTATAAATGCTCTCTAATCAGTGACCATCAATTAGTATTCTGTACTGTTAATTGTAAACAAAATAAATCTGAGCTGTTTCTTTATACTTTCCGAGATTATAAACATTTTAACAAAGACATGTTTACTCGCGATCTCATAGCTTCTGATTTTGAAGGTATTTATTACATGAATAATGTTGACGATAAAGTTAGGCATTTTAACAACCTTTTACTTTTAAATTTTAATAATCATGCTCCCATAAAAACAGTTAAAATCTCGAAAAAACATGCTGGCTGGCTCACTGATAATCTGAAATTTATGTTTCTTCGTGATAAAGCCCTAAGTAGATTTAAGAAAACAAATAATCCTCATCATTTTGAATATTATAAGCAGTTGCGTAATTTAACTAATAAAACTATAAATTTAGAGAAAAAACATACTTAGAGTTTAAAATTCGCAACGCAGGAAATTCCTTTTGGAAAGTACTTAGAGATTTAGACATTTATAACAAAAAAGACTGTTCTAATGAGGTCCCTTACTCACTGTCTAACGTTGACCACATTAACAATTATTTTATTAGTAGCTCTAGCGAAAATTCTACAATTGATATTGAACTTTTGCAATACTATCAAACACAAAAATTATATGATAACGATTTCTGTTTCGACAGATGAAAATGAAATTTATCGCTATATATTGTCTATAAAGTCTAAGGCAATGGGATGTGATCAAATCAGTATTACAATGATTTTGAACAGTTGCCCCTACATCTTACAATTTCTTAAACATATATTTAACTATTGCTTAAAACACTCCACTTATCCGTCGGAATGGAAGCTGGCAGAAGTCATGCCAATACCAAAATGTATTGTACCACAAGAATTTAAAGATCTTCGTCCTGTTAGTTTATTATCAACTTTATCTAAAATTTTTGAAAAAGTGATTGATAAGCGAATACGTAAGTATGCAGAAAACCAAAATATTTTTCCTCAATGTCAATCTGGCTTTCGGCCAATGCACAGTTGTACAACTGCAATTCTTAAAGTAACTGATGATATATTAACTGCAGTTTATAAAAATAAATTATGTGTTCTTGTTTTGATTGACTACTTAAAGGCATTTGATAAAATTAATCATAATTTATTATTATCTCTGCTAAGTTTCTTTGGATTTTCAGAAAAAGCAACGTCTTTAATTAGACAGTATTTAGCAAATCGTTTTCAGAGAGTTAAGTTATCTCAAAAAGTATCCAATTGGAACAGTGTTATAAATGGGGTGCCCCAAGGATCGATTCTCGGTCCATTACTATTTATAATATATACCTCAGAATTATACAAATCCTTAAAAAACTGCTCAAGCCACTTTTATGCTGATGATAGTCAGATATATTATGTTTTTGATGAAAAAAACATAGACAGTTCTATTAATATAATCAACAATGACTTGGATTCACTGGTTTCATACTCTATTAAAAGAGGACTCTCTATAAATGCTAAAAAGTCGAATCTAATGTTGTTCGGCAGACGAGTGAAGCGGAATAGATGTCTTGACAAAGTACGAATTAGGGTAAACGATGAGCCACTGTCCATTAAGGACAAGTGTAAAAACTTAGGTATCATTATAGATTCTGATTTAAATTTCTCGTCACATATATTTATGATTATTAAAAGAGGGTTCAGTAATTTAAAATTAATATATTTTAACAGAAAATTACTGACTTTTAACTCTAAAATGGTTTTAATAGTTTAGTTATATCGCACTTAAATTACGGTGATTTGATTCCAATCGATTACAGAAGTTACAAAATTCATGCGTAAGATTAATTTGTGGCATTTGGCGAAGGGAACATATTTCGCACCATATTAAAAGAATTGGTTGGTTAACCACAATTCAACAACGAGTATTGAACGCTTGCTGTCAGTTTAATTCAATTATTTCTAAGAAAACACCTCCGTATCTTTACAACAATATAAGATTTAGGACAGACGTACATAACGTCAATATTCGTTGGAAGAATAGATTAACCATACCATTACACCGAACACGTGCTTACAGAGGTTCATTTTCATATCAAATCGCTCATCTTTTTAATTGGTTTCATGACAAACATGGTAATTGCAGTAATAAATTAAATTTTAAGGAACAGTTGAAGAATGATTTACTAAATAGTGTTATGACACCACCAGATTTTTAATATAATATTATATATTTTGTTGTTCTCTGATTTTTTTAGTATGTCTCTTATTTTTATTTTTATTTTTAGAAGTTTAGTTAGTTTTTATTTGTTACTTAAATGGATAATTCTTGTACAAAAATTAAATTTACATGGTTGGGTGGAAGAGCAGAGTTACTTAAAGGCAGTTCATCTACCTTTAAGGAACACTGAACCCTGCCAATTGACATAAGTCATATATATATATATATATATATATATATATATATATATGCATAATGTCAATAAAAGCATTTATTATTGTTATTATTATTATTATTATTATTATTATTATTATTATTATTATTATTATTATTATTAAGTAATGTTTGGTGTTAAATTTCTCTGAGCTAGTCAAAATCGCTTATAAGTGCTTTGAAATTCACATTGTATCACAAGGTAACGAAATATATACCATATAACGAAGTATATTTACAATGTAATGAAAATATTATATTGGGGATTAATATACAGGGTATCCCATCGAAAACGTACCGCAATGCATTATAGAGTGGAAAAGGACTTTTCGGCAAAATCCAAAAACCCTTCAAGTTTGTTTGTCAAGGGGACACCTTCTGACGTAAAAGGCATAGTAAAACCTTCAACCCTTTTAGGAGGGATGTCATCCTCCAAGAAGGAGGATTAAGTGAAACCTCATTAAAAGGGTCTTGTCATACCCTATACAACTCTGCTGAGTTTTTGAAAATCGAGTCACTCGTTTAGAAAATTATGGAGCCTTGAAAGTTAAATAATAATGTGTGACGAAAAATGCAAAAAGAGATTCAATAATTACTGTATTATTAAAGTAAATAATCAAAGTATTACCCGCCCACTTACATACAGTGATAGAAGTTATCTTTAAACCGTTGCCGTAGATTTTGGAGTAGTTGCGGTGTCACTTCGCGACATGTGTTAATGATTCTTCTTCGCAACTCTTTTAATATGCCAGGCGGAGTTTTTATGTGCCCCACAAGAAAAATCTAAAGGACTTAAGGACTTAAGCTGGGTCGATGGCATTTTGTAGTAGAGCCAAGTACATATCGCCTGTTAAATTTCCAGGAAGAAAAAAAGGGTCTACAATGGAATTTCCAAAAATACCAGCCCATACATTTAACTTCTCGGGGTGTTGTGTGCGCGTCTCGAGGAAAACCATGAATTGCTGTCAGCCCAGTAATGGAAATTGTGGCGTTTTACTAAACCATGTAGAAAGAAAGAAAACATCCGAAAACACACATTAAATAAGAAAATTATCATTGTTTAACGCTCACTCGCTTATAATTTTGCAAAATTGCAAGCGACGATCGAAGTCGTCTTTATTCAGGTCTTGCACTAAGCGAATTTTATGAGGATGGAATTTTTATTTTTTTTATACGCGTTGGACACTTGTACGAGACACATCCGTCGCAATGGCCAATTGTCTTCTACTCAGCGTACTATCCACTGTAACTTGTCTCAAACTGCTATCTCCGTAGGTTCATTTACCACTGGATTTTCAAGGATCCACTTTTTGTTGTGAACCTAACCTATTTCGCAAAATTTTGCCACCAATTCTCAAACAATTTTCATAGAGAGATGTTTAACAGGATGCCGTTGGTTAAACAGTGTTACGATCTAATTTTGCCCCAACATTTTTTGATAACTCATTTTGTTTTTGGACACACTCTATATATTTTGGCGGTATTTTTAAGAGGTAAGCGCCAATAATTCCCGGCCTGACATAG